TTGAGAAGGGGAAAGAATAGCAACTGATTGTTCTGCCTTTTGCTTTCCAGGAGTTAATTCAAGAGCAAATTGAGGTAAGTAGCTCTCTTTTTTCAGGGAAGGATTGGAGGCTAGTCTTTCTACTGCAGGGGTTGGCAAAATGTGGCCCAGGGGCAGGATGTGGTCCACCAGGCCATTCTGTCTGGTCCGCAGGGCCCCTAAAAAATTTAGAAAATTAATATTAATCTGCCCTGGGCTGCCTGTCATGCAGCCCTCGATGGCTTGCCAAAACTCAGTAAGCGGCCCTCTACCCAAAATAACTGCCTGCCCCTGTTCTACTGGAAGCCTTGTTTCTTGCCACAGGACAAAGCCCTGGAGATTAGTGTGCACTAGTCATCATCAGGGATTGACAGTGGGGAGATGGAAACTAGATGGACCGTGTTAGATCTTCCTCATCCATAGCTTCTCTAATACTGCAATTCTTCCTTCTTTTCAAACTAGCTGAAAAGATAAGTCCTGTTTTCTTGCTACTTTTAGCTACTGCAGACCACAGGAGGAGCACGAGGGACACTACCTCTGACATTTCTGAAGGTGCTGGCTTCTCAAGCATGCCATGGTAAGTGAGCGTTCTTTACCTTCCCATTTATGCAGCGTACTCTCTGGGGCAGTGGTTTCAGAGAGTTCTTCCAAGAGCTGCAGGAGGCACATCATTAGACAGGGTGCCTCTTAAGTGTCAGGAAACAACTTCCCCTTTGGACAGCTTTACTTGGGGTAGAAGATGCCCTACCTGTTATGTGTGTATGTGGTTGTTATCCACATTCCTGCACAGCAGAGTTACTGACAGTGCTGTCCTAATGTGCACCAACCAGTGTGAGCCATTGGACCACCAACCCATGTGAGCTATAGGACTTTCAACAAGCAGTCCATGGAGTGGAGGAGAGGGTATGAGGGAGGTCCTGCATCAGTGCTCTTTAACAGGCAGGGAGGACCTTAAGCAACAGTACCCTCAAGCCATTTTGTCTGCCCTCAAATGGTAACTACTAGAAATGACAGTGCATGGTGTCCCGGAGACCTGGCAGTGTTCTTATTTGGAAATACAAAGGACTTCAAGGGTTGTGCAAAGGCCCCAAAATAAACAGGTATCACAAATGTATGCAGCAGTGTTTTTAATCCCTTCGTACTAGCTGGACTGTTGCATGCTGCATTAATATACCCCTCCACTGCCAAAGGGCAAATGTGGACTGATTTGCACCACTTGACTCTCCAAATGGCAGAGGGTACATAAGCCTCCCTTTATGTGGAAGAGGAAGACTAAGTGCCATTGCTGAGTTGCAGGATGCATGCTGCTGAATATGGGATCAGAGATGTCACTCCTGATGTCTGTGAAGAGGGACTGGTAAAAGTATAAGATGACTCTTTTAGTAGCCTGCTTGTATTTAGTGCACTAAACGCTCAGGAATAACTGGTGACTGAGGTGGCATTCAGCCTCTAGCATGCGGAGCTGATATTTAGTATCTCTCTGCTTTGGTAGCTTCACATTTGTGGAGTGGCCTTGTTCTCATATCTAGAGAAAACTGCTGATGTGTGTCATGTAAGTAACATCAGGTGGAAAGCAAGGAAGCTGTCCTACCATCCACCTGCCAAGGACCAGACAATGAAGTTTGTACCATGACAAAAGCCAGTCTTTATGTGTTGGGAAGGCTAATTAACTGAAGCCAAATCCCAGATCTGTTTCATTGTAGCATGGTCTTTTGATTTGTGGTCTCAGGGGGCTAGAAGGAGGGTGATGCCCCTTATTTACTTGCTGTAGTTTCCAAAATCCCTGGTGAGGAGCTTGCTAGCTGAGTCAAACTCCTTTAGCTAGCACTTGCTGCATCTCACCTCTCTTTTCAGGAGCTATTAAGTTCAATGACAGTTTGACCATGGAGGAGAGCTCCCAGCTTATTGAAGCTTTGTCCTTCTGCCAGCTGCCCTTCCAGTGTGCTCATGGGAGACCTTCCATGCTACCCCTTGCAGATATAGACCACTTGCCACAGGAAAAGCAGGTACAATGTGGAACACTGCAGGTGGTGCATCTTGGGAGGATGAATTCATCTGCCTTTCCAGCCAGGTTGCATCTTAAATCAGATATGCTCTGTATCTGACCAGATGTGTGATGTTTAAAGCTGTCATTTGTGTCCCTCTCCTACTCTTCTTGTATTAATCCCTGGTGCATTGTTTATAAATGGACAATGCAATTGGACAAAGGGCACTTCCCAAGAGCATTGTTTCCCCATTAATATTTATTTAGATTTTGCCTACATTAAACAATCATGAACTTTTTTATTTACTCAGACCTACAACTGTTTAGATTAGAGCCTGAAGTTAGGCTCCTGAGCCTGTATGTAGGCACTTATAGGCACAAATCCCACTGACTTCCAGTGGCACACTGCTGGGGTAGCATTGCCCAGTCAGAGCAGTTCAGTATATCGGAATATCACACGGGTTGCAGACTGAGCCCATAATATTTGCTGATTAGTTTTGTGTCCAAATATATGCGCTTGGTTTTCTAGTGAAGCTAGTGATGAGGGCCCTGGACCTATGAGCACTTACCAGCATAGGTAAACGTTATAGGTGTGTAAAATTGGATGTTCTATTAACAGTGAAGCAAGTTATGACAAAAACAGGTACAAAAGAATTGCTTCACTAATTTGAGACTATAAAGTGGGAAGAAAGCAAATAACCAGCAAAATGTGAACAAAACAGTGACACACAAAATCATGACTTCTCTTGTTGCCCATGTGCTGTTTCAGGTTGCAAAACTGGGTCCTCATGGAAGTCATTTAGAACACACCTTTGATAAAGCACTTGAGCATCTCACTGTTGGAAGGGGCTATGGTGGTCAGTGAAGTCCTTTGCTCTTTTCTCCCAGCAGCCTAAACCTAATTTGGCCAAACTGAGAAAAATGGCCCAAGCCTGGCAGCTGTTTGGGAAACAAAGACATCACCATGGAACTGAGAGCTGAAAACCAGAATCCCAGGAGTGCTGTTGTCACTCAGTTCCTTTCAACCAGCATTCTACATGGACTTGCCTCCTGAGCCAGGACACAAACAGAGGTCCTGCCCTGACAGTTAACCTGCTGAGGAGCAGAGATCAGCCCTGGAAGTGTGGCTTGAGAGGACTGCTGTGTCTCAGGGAAGTGGCTTCAACATTGAGAGTGATGGTTTGGAGCCAAGACCTTTCCTTTATTCAATACTCAGTTGTTCAAGGCTAGAATCTGCCTCCCACTTGCAGATGCTGAATTCCCTTTTTCTTGTGAGGATGATTTTAGTCTATGTATTTACAGTGCCTTGGCTACATATTTATTAATAAACCTAAATACACTTTCACTTTCGTAAGCTTGCCCACAAAATGATGTAGGTGGGCTGTGCTCATTCCAGCCATTGACATGAAACTAATGCAGAGGAGGCCTGGCTTTGGTATTTCTCGTCCTGCCTGCAGCTGCTGCAGTTCCCTGACTCATTTTACCATGCTGATGGAAGATTTCCAAACTAGAGCCTGATGATGTTCTCTCAGTGAAATACAAGCTCATATCATACTGCAATTTCTGTTAGATTGATGTTTATTTCTATGGTACTAAAGAGATATTATTGATGTATATTTACTTACTCATAGGCAGCACCATATCATGCATCATTGCAACACGTAAGTGCCTGAATTAGTCAATAATCTTATTGTAGCAATGCTTACAAGCTAAACAAAATGAAGTAGATAGGATACTTCAATTCCTACCCTAGACTGTAGTGTAACACAGCTGTGCACTGTTAAAATTAGAAATGGTTCTCCCTTCCCAGGAGACCCTACAGTTTCTTCTAATGCAGTGTGAAGCTGCAATAGGAGAAAACAGATGCTTTTAAGTATCTTGGCAGTGCACAGACATGGGAACTGAGGTTTGAGACCTTGGTCTGAAATAGGTAGAGCAGTGAATGCGAATGTATTAGCCATCAAGTTGCTGCAATGTGGGAAGGGGTCTGTTTGGCATTAAGCAAATGCCATCCTTGTTACAACTAAGGCAGACAAGGTTCTTTGTGTGAATCTGATATCTTTTATCAGACCAACTTAAATAGTTGGAAAACAATTATTAAGCAAGCTTTTGGGTTCAAAAATCCTTCATCAGGCTAAGGAAGTTTCAGCAGTTGGGGTGTGCTCTTGCTGGATGGAATGAAAAGTAAAGAAGCTAGAGGCTGGTCTGGTATGCATACAAGACAGGTAAGTCAGTGAAAATGTTGGAGTGTGCTTTTCCATCCAGCAAGAGCACACACCAACTGCTGAAACTTCCTTAGCCTGATGAAGAGTTTTTGAACCCGAAAGCTTGCTTAATAATTGTTTTCCAGCTATTTAAGTTGGTCTAATAAAAAGATATCAGATTCACGCAAATAACCTTGTCTGCCTGTGCCCTTAGACCAGCACGGCTACAACCTACACCCTTGTTAGAACTAACACAGTCATTCCCATGTAATGTTTATTTCAACAAATCCACATTTTCCAACCGAAGTAGTTTGAAATTCCCAGCTAGCTTCAATTAGAATTGCTGTCATGGTGCCAGAGGCAGCTACTCCCAGGACATATCTACAGCTAACTTACTGTGCCAGATGGCACTATGCCAAAATCCATGACTCTTCTCTAGGCACACTATTTCCCAAAGTGGAAGCAGGGTAGCCACCTTAGCACTGTGCTGCAGACAACTGATTAGCTCCACAGCAAAACTAATCAGTCCAGAAAGTTAACAAGTCAGACAGACCTTTAGTCTCCCAAGTTGTAATAGAAGGAATATCAGGCTGCTACTAGCAAATTCTCATTTTTGGTACAGTGATGATCAGCCTACTGCAACTTAAAGAATCAACTTATTCTTGCATGGAAGATGCACTTGTCTCTTGGCTGTTGGTTTAAGCCACCTTTATTATAGTAGATCAAGGCAAGGCAGCTTAGCTGCACCAAAACATTCCAAGCACACCTTGGGCAGCACTGAACTGGACCTTTTGTGGAGATGGAACATGCAGGAAAGAACTAGCTGTTGCCAGAAATCAGGTTAAAAACTGCTCCACATGACATGTAACAGAATACTGGGAGCAAATCCAGTGCAAGAGCTTTGCTCACTGGTACTTTTTGGCTGGGGGAGGAAATGTTACACCAGGCAGGCACTTCCTGTTGAAGACTAAGTTAATTTCTGCCACAAAGGGCTTATTTAACCACTGTATCTTCGCAAAGATCAAGGCAGGAAGAGTCTGCATAGTGAGGTGTTTTGAGTCACTGGAGCTCAGAGTTCATGGTCATCAGGATGATAAAGCTCACTCATGAGGCGATAGATATAGGAGGGTGCATTACCCCCAATGTTGGAAATGAAGAGAGTGATGAGCTCAGGTGGGACATAGTCAAACACAGGGCAGTGAATATTGATCTTTGTCAGGATCTCTCCTAAAAACAAAAACAGCCACTGTATTAGAGATGAATGTCGCAGCTCGGCCTCCCCCCACACCCTCTGAAACCAAACTGACAAAGCCCTACTGCCACCAGCACCAATATTTCACATCTTGTTTTGCCAGCTTGCCTTGCCAAATTAATTGTAGTAGCAGGTATACAGCAGTCTTGGGTAAATGACAGTATTTGGCCCAGCTGTGACAATTGCTGGCAGCGACCAGGAAACCCCCCAGCTCCCCGGACTAAGGAACTGCAATAAGTTGAAACAAAAGCCTTAAATCTAAGCGATCCCATGCTGCTACTTGCAGGGTTCTGCCACAGAAGCATGGCTTTGGAAGACAGTCACTATATAATAAGCATTGGAGCTCTTTCTGAAGATTGACCTTGCATGGGAAGGCCAATGACAGAGAAATCAAGCTATTTCTCAGCCAGCTGTAGTGAGTGACCCAGAGTCTACACTCTAAAAGCCACACTAGCAAGAGCAGAACAAGTAGCTAGCATGGTTTCTCTGCCAATGTGGTAGGTGTAGGCCATCTTCCATCTGGAGTCACCACTCACACCTCAAGTGTTTCATTACTACATGTAAATGGTAAAGTCCTTCAGGGCAGGAGCAAAACGGCCAAGGTAACGTGAAAAAATTTCCTCTGGCTGTCTCAGTATCTATAGAGGATTATCCTGTAACCAAAGGCAGGATATTTATCCTGTTGAGGTCCACATTGACTCTGACCATGGTCCTATCTCACTTTGCTGCTGGGAAGAACATTCAAAGGCTGCATTCTGGGGCCAATATGACTACACTCCAAACAAAGAACCATGTAAGGGGGGTGGGACCAGTACCTTCTGTGAAAGGAAGTGCTTCCTGTGGAGAGACAAACTTGTGGAATGAATCCTCTTCATTAGGGAACTGGGAGAGAGAGAGAAATACTTAGAAGAATACAGATCACCCACCCCCTTATTCTACATGAAGGCTCAGCACAAGGGCTGGAAGGGTCTAAGCAAAGGAAACAGCTTTCTCCTTCATCCATATTTTACAGCCTCGATCTCAGTGGTTCTCAACTTTCTTAGACTCAAAGCACTCCTCAGCAGATTTGAGGCACCCCTTGGGAAATGCCAGCTCTTAATTTTCACTCTGTTTTTGACTACAGAAAAATACTACAACAATTCTTCTGTAGCAAAGAACTCAGAAAAACCCCAACAGGTCAGAATGGAATCATGTTTGTGCATTAACAGTGCTAACTCTGTGTGGCACCCTTGATAGGTTCTTAAAGCACCCCAGAGTGCCATAACCCCCTGAATGACGATAATTGCTTTATCTTGTAAAGCCATCCCCTGCTGCCTGGAACTGTACTATACGCAGCTGCTGCAAGTAAAACCAGTATTTTCTTCGCTCCTTGACACTTACCTATATTCTGGACACTCTACAGCAGGGATGGGGAACCTTCAGGCCGCCGGGGACTCCATTTACTAGCCACCTCTGCCCATGTGGCTTGTGCCAGTCTCCATGGAGACCTCAGCCACACCAGCAACGCGCATGGCAGAACATCATGGGGCTGCTCCAGAGCTGCTGGGAACATGGGACTGGGGCAGCTTGCTTTGGAACCATGATCTGTAGCTTGCATGCTCCAGGCAGGGGCACACGTGCAGGGGATTGTGGCTCTGCCCCAGCTTCAGACAGGCTGTCACTGCTACAATGAGCCGGGGCAGAGCCACAGTCCTCTGCATATATGCCCCTGCCCAGAACGTGCAGGCTACAGATTGCGGCTCTGAAGCAAGCTGCCCCCATCCCACATTCCTGGCAGCTCTGGACCTGCTGCAGGTGTAGCTGAGGTCTCTGTGGAGACCAGCACAAGCTACGGGGGGAGGGGTGGCTGGGAAATGGAGTCCCCGGCCAACCGGATCCCACAGGCCAGACATTCCCCATCCCTGCTCTACAAGAAAGTCCAGATTTGAAGAGGGCCAATGTTGCTGTAACCTGCTCTCTGATGATAGAAGACTAGGCCTATTTGACTATATTGAAAGAAGCAGAGCAGGAAAGTCCTAATACTGCTTCTTTCCACTTCCCTGATGGATACTGGCAATGACCTTTCATCTCCAAAGATGTGGTTTCAAATCCCTACAGTATAGTAAAGTTGACAGTCTTGGTCTCTGGTAGACGGTCATCAACATCCTAAGTCTCCACCCCAACAATTCAGCATGTTTGGCAGTTTGTGCTGGAGGAAGGAAGGTTAGAATAGTGGAAAGACCTGAGGGTTTCATTGGGCTAGGATGGAGGTACATCATCAGCGCTGGTTGCCCCATTTGAACCTGGACCAGTTGGTGCTAACCATCCCTCGCTTTCAAAACCATTAGAATTCCCCAACTCTGTCTCCGACATTACAGCATCTGCTCCCTCTAAAGTTGTTGCCCCTACCTGTGGTGAAAGCTTGAACATGGGGGCACAGACAATGAGGGGAGTGGAGTGGTGTTTCGCTGCAAGTGCCAGGGTGTGAGTCCCGCTGACGGCAATCAGTGCACCATTAGCCAAGATAGTCTTTGTACCGATGATCACCTGCCAAATATAAATAAGCATTAGAAGTGACTTAGAACAGGAACTTCATATCCACAGCTGCTGCTTCAGACTACCAGGAGTGAAGACCTTCAGGTTCCTACCACCCTTTAAGAAGAGACAGGAGAAGAGGCTGGAGTGCCAGAGGTAGTAGGATGCTCAATCCATTCTGTCTGACTCAGCGCAGAGATTTTTCCCTCTGGCTAGACCAAGACCTCACAACTTAAGGCCAGTTGGAAGTTAGAGCACTGTTGTTTGCCCTAGTGGCGAGAGCACCAACCTGGAACTCGGAAAGTCTGTGTATTAGTCCTGACTCTGATTCTAGCCTAGTGCTTGTCCTTCAGCAAGTCACTTCACCATTCTATGCTTCACTTTCCCCTTCTGTAAAATGGGGATAATGATAATGGCCCACAATGTAAATTCTTGGATCTCCTAAGGAGAACCGGTAGAGTTCAGGATTCTGACATGCACCTGTCACAAGACCATGGTGTTGTATTTTCAACTGTGCAAGACTGAGGAATATAAAATTGCAGTCAGGATGCCCAGCAGTCATATTTTCACACCACACCTTGTCCATACAGCCTTCTGCATGGCTTGTGATCTAAGCAAGGGAGTCCCAACCCCTGTCCCTAGCCATTCTAGAGTCAGGCAGTTTTGTTTTCATTAGAAGCTCAAAAAAAAGTTATAACTCCTTGCAACTCCCCCAGATACAAGCACCTGTTTTCAAGTGTCTGTTTCCACTCAGTGTCACTGGGTTTTGTAACACCTCCTCCTTGGAAGAGGGGCAGCTGGGGACAGAATATGTATAAAAGGCTACCAGTGGAACTGTCACTATGTGATCAGTCATCATGCTGGCTGGTCTCTGCTCTCCCAGCCCTGTGTGGGAACTAGAACTATTCCTACAATGTGGAAACATTAAAACCGTTCTGGGACAGAAGTAGGTCTCCTCTAGTTCCTGCTTCCCAGGTTATCTGGGCTTTTGACAGAAGCCCATCCATCCCTCATCACTACCTCCAAAAGGGACCTAACAAGGTCTGAACATCAGCAATCCCCTAGTGTCCTCTCTCAGACCAACCTTATTGACTCGAGACATAACAGCGAAGATGGCTGCATCACTCATGACGGTGGTTTCAATGCTCTCTTGAGCCAGACGGACAGCCATTTTGTGACCCTGTGTTAGAGGGAGATTCTGGTTAGTCAAGGGAGGGATTCTCTTGAGTTGAGCTGAGTGCCACAGACACTCACCTGAAGTCAGGAGCTACACTCTGGGAGCCAGAAAACAACCCAAAAACAATACAGCACATACACTGTCCTGTGATCTGGTAACCTGTGGAGGAGCAAGGAGCCTGCCACCGGCTCTTTGCCACAGTCAGTTTTCCTACACCGTTCCCTGTGGTAGCCTGGCTATTCCCTCCCAATTAGCAGCAGTCCATGTTATCCCTGCCCCTATTGTTCTGGAGGCAGAGCTCTGTGGAAACACTGCCCAGCGCAGCTGAGCCAAGGGGACTAACAAGCAGGGCCTTACCTGGCAGAAGGGTGCACACTCTGCCACGATCACTTGGAATTTCCGCTTGCGCGCTGCCTCTTTCAAGAAGGCTTCCACGATGTGAGAGTAGCCAATGGTCATGATCACCTCATTGGAGTGGATGTGCTCCAGTGCCTGCATTGCGATGTTCTCCGTTGTGCCCTCTGCAAAGGTAGGAAGCCAGCAGGAAGAGGAATATCAGGACCATCAACTGCCATGCTGAAACCAGCACCAGACCAATGCCAACAGGAAAAAAAGAACGCAAGCCCACAGCCACTGAAGTATGCCCCAAATCATCGCCACAGCAGTAAAAACCCCCACACATTTTAGAGCCTGGGTCTGGCAGCACAGCATCATTTCATCTACCATCCCTTGAGGAGAGGGAACAGTGTCTCTTGCCCCAACAGGGGCTCCTGGTTACCTAATTTGGCAATTGTGCTATCCCCAGGCCAGGCTCCACATCACCCTTAGTTCAGGCAGCAACACTGGCATTTGTGCAGCAAGAACTGCTCAACTTCCCGTGGCCTTCATCTAGGACCCAGGCAGATACTGGTTACATACACTTGAAGCAAAATGGAGACAAAGCACCCTGACTTTCACAGGCCCTCTGCCTGCTCAGGGAAATGGGATGTGTTGAAAAGTCTCATAATTAGGGGAGTGAAAAGGATAGCATCAGCTCTGGCATCAGTTCTAGCCTAGATGGCTGCCCAGTCCACAAGCTGCCTCCTGGTAGCAAAGGGAGATTTGTGAGGCAATCACAGTCTGCCAGCACTAAGAGGGGAGACCAGGCAGTGTGGCTGGCCCCCAGCAGTGATGAGCTGTGAATAAAGACAATCTGATGGGCAGAGCAAAGTCTGAGAGGCTCCTAGGAAGCGGGTGCTTTGGAGGTAGTCCACTCCAGCAACTCCTCTTGGCTGTCTCTGGAGCTGCATGCTTAGCTGCAGGGCCCATCCCTACAGTGCAATAGCAAGGGAAGGAGCATAGTTCATTCAGTCTCTGTGGGGCCAGGCTGTCCTGAGCACAGCAGAACTCAACCTCAGGCGCTGCATGCAGGCAAGATTTTATATTCCTGCAGACAGGGGTTTGCTCAGATCTTCCCACGGGCACAATCTCACCTGTCAACACCTTGTGGGTCCCTCACTGTTCCATTCTTTCCTCAGGACTAGATGTGCGCAGATTCTAGGACGCACCTCACCTGCAAGACTGAGCCTCACAGCTCCCCGCCATGCCCATGCAAGCTGGGAACTGGGTCCCCCTACTTCTCCTTCCCTTCCCCATCATCCCATGGGCAAGCCACTCCAGTCCCATCCTGGAATGAGAAAGTCTTTCTGCATTGCATACCCAGCTCTATCAGCAGCTCATTAATAGCTTCAATCACATTAGCCCTGAGTGGGGCGAAGGGGGTGTTGAAGTCCTCACTGAGTCCCCCAGAGGTCAGAAGCTTGTGCAAGGATTCCTGCTGGTCACTCTCCTCGCTGCGCCCACGGAGCCTGCAGAGACAATGTGGCCATAAGACTGGGACGGGAGCAGGAAAAACCAACTAACCTGACAAAAACTTACAGGAGGAGATGGTTTGAACCACGCTGCCCCCATAGGACCAAGAACCAGCAAGCCTGATTACTGGGAGCACTGAAGAAGGGAGCTGCGCCCACTCTCTCACACAGCTCCCCAACTGCAAGGTCACCCGAGGCTTTGCCAATACGCCATACCCTCTAAAAGCTCAGTGAGCCAGCTCCAAGAGCTGCAGCAGGCACAGGGAAAGGCCTTGCTCAAGGCTGCTGCATCACCCAGAAAACTCCCTTGCATTTTACTAAGTGGGGAGAGAAGTGTCAGATCACAGCATTCAGGAGTTTGCACGGCAGCAACATCTACACTGAACAGAGCTTCGAGACGAGATGCAGTCAGTGACTGGGGAACCATAGGGCTTGCTGGTGTTACCAGTGGTCTCACAAGAGGAACTTGGTAAGTTCACCCTTAAAAGGAAAAGATTTTGGGGGAAGGAAGGGCGGAGATGTGCATCTTGTTTGGACACTTGAATGAGTCCTGCAAGAGCAGAAGGAAAAGAGGATGGTGCCCCTTGGGTCCACAGGACACTATCAGCTCCTCTCCCAAGTTGACTGAGAGGAAGATGCACAGGCGATGGGGGTGCGAGGACTTCACCTGCCATACTCCTCCCTAATGATCTTCAGTACTCGTCGCACCATGTTGCCCACCGTGGTCTCCGATGGCTGGGCTACCGTCATCCTCTGGCCCTCCTTCCGAATGAGGCCCATCAGCTCCCCTGAAATGAGGGCACAGCTACGTGGTCACCTGGCCACAGCTTCATGCAGCTCCATAGCTGCTGGCCCCAACACCAACCTCCAGCTTAGCAACCCTTCAAGCAGCTCTACAACCACCAGGCCCAGCCCGTGCCAAGATTTGCAGCAAACTGATGGGGCAAATGCTGAGGAAATAAAACAAAGCTTTTGGCCCCACGCAGCAACGGAGCCAAAATGAGCAGGGTACACCAGCCTGCCGGGCTCCCGGACCCTGCAGGGGTGCAGCTGAGCAAGATACCTCGCACCGCCTCTGGCCAACTCCTACCGCATGTCTGCCTCGCGGGCGGGACGGGCAGTGCCGGAGCCGGATCCGGCCCGTGGAGCGGTGCCTCCCGGCCCTGCCTTGGCTGCGGGGGAAGGGGGCAGGGTTCCGGGTCCCGGCCCGTAGTGGGGAGGAAGGGGCCTGGGCCCAAGGGAGGCGCCGGGCCGAGGCTCTCACCGGCTTTGCCCCAGCGGCCGCGGGCTATGATCTTGCGCAACAGCCCCAGCGTCTGCCGCGCCGTCTCCTCGGAGCGCGGCCGCTGCCCACCCCGCTTCAGCCGCGCCACAAAGGCCTCGATCTCCTCCGACAGCTCCGACTGCTTCTCGGCCGCGCCCGGCATCTTGGCAACTGGGGCGGCGGAACCACAAGACCACGGCTGCTACCCCAACCCGGACCCTGCTGAGAACGGACCGCTTCCACTTCCGCCCAGCCCCGCCCCGCCCTCCCATTGGCTAAGGAAGCCCCGGTCAGCCAATCCGGAAACCCTGTCTCGCGGCGGCGCGGGACACGTGAGCGGGTTCGATGATGTGTCACGTTTCGAACTCTGGCTTAGCCCCGCCCCCCATGTGTCCTCCTGCGGTGGCGCTGGGAGCGGCGCGTGCTCGGCGCTGCGGGTTCAGCCGCCGCCAGCGGGAGCCGGCGGGCTG